CACGCAAATGTTCCCAAACCTGATATTTTGATCTTTGATGTAACAGAAGTTGTTTCTACACTAAGCCTTCAAACAAACTGGAAGAAAAAGGATATGCAATGTTGATTAATGCATTTGAATATCAGTGCTGAATGTGTACATTAAAGACAATAGCTCTTATTTGCATTTGAAAAATAAAGTGATTTTTTATAACAGCCTAGATTTGTAGAGGTTCCAGTCCTGAGTTTTCCCCTGCCTCACTCTGTGATTGGACAAGGCACTTCGTTTTTCTACTCCTCATTTTCTCTGCCAAATAAAATGGGTGGGTTTGACCAAATAAGAGACTGCAAAATGACTGAATTTTGTACCCAGGCATGTTTCGTTTGTCATTTTGTTTTGGCATTTTTTTGTTGTTTTAAAAAACGGGATATTTGACAACATTGAAAAGTCAGAAGATTTTACATACCATATAGATCTAAAATGCTCAAAACACCTTGAAAAACTAATCTTTCATTTCGACATGCACCAGATGCCTGGAAGAGAGTTGCAGTAGCCATGTTTAGACAAGGAGTCACTTTCCATTGGCCACAATCCTACTGCTATATGTCACCCACATGGCTTAATAGGTATGGCCATTCATGATGCCTGGACTAGATGCTACTAGGTTCCTTTCAATTTAAGATGCCATGGCCCCAATCTAAGTATACTGTACATTACAAAATGACTGAGAACATCTACAAAAAGGCTAAAATCTACCAGTTGCTTATTTTACTATATAGGCACAGCTCAGAGCTATTGCAGTTTTGGTTCCAGACCATTGCAATAAAGTGAATGCCACAATAAAGTGAGTCACACTATCTTTGGGATTCCCAATGCATATAAAAGTTACATTTATAGTATAAATAGCCTATTAAGTGTGCAATAACATTATGTCTAAAACAACAATGTACATACCTTAAATAAAAATATTTTATTGCTAAAATATGCTAATAATAATCTAAGCATTTAGCAAGTTGTAATCATTTTGCTGGTGGAGGGTCTTGCCTTGATGTTGATGGCTGCTGACTCATCATAGATGGTTGCTGAAGGTTGGGGTGGCTGTGGTAATTTCTTAAAATGAGATGACAATAATGTTTTCTCCATCAATTGATTTTTCCTCTGATGAAAGATTTCTCTGTAGAATGCAACACTGTCTGACACCATTTTACCCACAGTAGTAATTCTCTCCCTAAATTGGAGTCAATCTTCTGAATCCCTGCCACCATGTTATCAACTAAGTTTATGTAATATTCTAGTCATTTCACCAATGTTTAGAGCATCTTCACCAGCAGTAGATTCTATGTCAAAAAAAAAACCATTTTCTTTGCTCTTTCATAAGAAACAACTCCTTATCTCTTAAAATTTCATCATAAGATTGCAGCAATTCAGTTACATATTCAGGCTTCACTTCTAATTCTAGTTCTCTCACTATTTCCACCACATCTGTAGTTACTTCCTCCACTGAAGTCTTGAATCCCTCGAATTCATCCATGAGGTTTGGAATCAACTTCTTCCAAATTTCCGTTAATCATATGTTGATCCCCTCCCAGGAACCCCAAATGTTCTTAATGACATCTAGAGTTGTGAATCCTTTCCAGAAAATTTTCCACTTACTTTGCCCAGATCCATCAGAGGAACCACTATCTATGGCCTCTGTAGCTTAGGAAATGTCTTCCTTGTGTAGCAAGACATAAAGTCCAAATTAGTTCTTGATCTATGAAATAGAGAATGGATGTCGTTTTAGCAGGTATGAAAATAACATTAATTTCCTTGTATGTCTCTATTAGGGCTTGTGAGTGGCAAGGTTCATTGTCAATGAGCAGTAATATATTTTGAAAGAAATATTTTTTTTCCAAGCAGTAGGTCTCAACAGCAGGCTTAAAATATTCAGTAAACCATGCTATAAGTAATTGTGCTGTCTCATCCAGACGTGCTCCATTTATAGAGCACATGCAGAGTGGATTTAGCATAATTCTTATGAACTCTAGGTTTTGCAAAATGGTAAGTGAGCATTGGCTTCAACTTCGTTACCAGCTGCATTAGACCCTAATAAGAAAGTCAGCCTGCCTTTCAAAGCTTTAAAGCCAGGCATTGACTTCTCTCTAGCTACAAAAGTCCCAGATGGCATCTTCTTTTAGTAGAAGGTTATTTCATCTACATTAAAAATATGTTGTTTATTGTAGTAAACTTCATCAATTATCTTAGCCAGGTCTTCTAAATAACTTGCTACTGCTTCTACATAAGTACTTGCTTCTTTATCTTGCACTTTTATGATATGGAGCGAACTTCTTTCCTCAAACCTCATGAATCAACCTCTGCTAACTTTGGGCATTTTTGTCTTCAGTTTCCTCATCATTTTCAGCCTTTGATGAGTTGAAGAGAGTTAAGGCCTTGCTCTGGTTTAGACTTTGATTTAAGGAAGTATTGAGGCTGGTTTGATCAGCAATAAGGCTGCTTTGTTTTCTTATCATTCTTGTATTCACTGGAGTAGCTCTTTCCATTCTCTTCAATAACTTTTCCTTTGTATGCTTATTTTATTTTATTTATTTACTTATTTATTTATTTATTTTTGAAACGGAGTCTTGCTCTGTCACCCAGGCTGGAGTGCAGTGGCACAATCTTGGTTCAGTGCAAGCTCCACATCCTGGGTTCAAGTGATTCTCCTGCCTCAGCTTCCCGAGTAGCTGGGACTACACACACCCGCCACCACACCCAGCTAATTTTTTAGTAGAGATGGGGTTTCACCATATTGGCCAGACTGGTCTCAAACTCCTGACCTTGTGATCCATCTGCCTCGGCCTCCCAAAGTGCTGGGATTATAGGCATGAGCCACCATGCCTGGCCTTCCTTCGTATTCTTAACTTAGCTACCTGTTTGACACAAAGGCTTAGTTTTCAACCTATCTCAGCTTCGGACATGCCTTCCTCACTAAGCCTAATCATTTTGATTGAAAGTGAGAGGTGTGCAACTCTTCCTTTAACATGAACATTTAGAGACCATTTTAGGGTTATTAACTGGCCTCATTTTAGTATCGTTATGTTTGAGGAAATAAAGAGGCCCCTGCAAAGATAGGAGATAGGAGAGAGATAGGAAAATGGTTGGTCACTGTAGCAATCAGAACATACACATTTATCAATTAGATTTGTTATCGCATATGGGTGTGGTTTGTGTTGCTCTAAAACTATTACAGTATTAATAGCAAAGATCACTGATTACGGATCATCATAACAGATATAACAATAAGAAAGTTTGAAATGTTGTGAGAATTACTAAGATGTGAAGATGCAAGGAGGAAGCACATGCTTCGGAAAAATGGTGCTGATAGACCTGCTCAACACAGGATTGCCATAAATCAATTTGTGAAAAACACAGTATCTTCAAAGTGCAATGAAATAAAGTATAATGCCTACTGCTGCTACGACATCCCAAATACCTTTCTTCTGATCAGAAAGTAGCCTTCAAGGAAGCAATTTAGTAAGAAAAAGAAAAGGAAATATTAGACACCAAGGGAATGTGTCTATTGCTCAGTAACCAACAAGAGACTACCAAACCATGCTAAGACTTCCTAACCTGACCAACTACTTCAGCAGTTGACAATGCTAAAGATTAGCATTTGTCCAAAAAGATTAGTTTCATAATTAAATTCAATAGAAAAAATATTTTTGAGTACCAGCTCAAGACTAGACTCTACTACATAGCACAATTAATAGAGGAATAAGATACAATTCCTGCCTTGATAGCCTGGGACACTTAAATGCAAACTTAAAATGTATAATTTATATAACACAAATATATTTATTTTAAACATTTAATAATTACAAAATATTTTAATAAATGTATCAATAGATATGGCACAGAGGTATAATAAACAAAAGGTGGGTCTCCAGAGCTTTTGCATGTGCTGTTTCTCTGCCCGGATCAACTTTCACCCAGTTTCCAAGTAATTCATTTTTTCTCCTCTCTCATACATTTGTTCAAATGTCTTTGTTGATTAGCCTGTTTAAATTGAAACTGCCCAAATCCCCAAGACTGGCATCTTGAACTTCTTTCTGCTTTATTTTCTTTATAGCACTAATGAGCATTTTTCATTCTGTGTATTTTACTTATTTGTTTTGATGACTGTCCTTGTCTCCTAGTGGAATGTAAGCTCCATGAAGGCAGGTTCTTTTCTTTTTTTCTTTCTTTTTTATTTTTCTTTTTTATTTTTTTTTTACTATTTTCTTTATAATCATTTCCATATCTCCTGGAATAGTGCCTGGCACATAGAAGTCATTGGGCAAATATTGGTTGAATTATTCAATGCCTGAAGTAATCAGTTATCCTCAGGAAAGGCAGAGCAAACTTCCTGAAAAGATGGTGTCAAGTAGGTTATAAAGAATGAATAAAAGTTCACTTTGTTAAATGACAAACCGGGAAGAGAGCATGTTACAAAAAGAGGGTAGCATGTGCAAGAAAGATCACTGCATACTCCGGTAGAGTATGTATTTAGGGTTATTACATGTTTATTACTATTCTCAGAAATAGTTTAATTGTGCAATTGTTACAAGTCAGAGCTCCAAAAACTGTTGGTACTCTTATAAGCCCTTATAGGCAATGTTTTATTTTACTTTCACACAGGTAATTGGAATCTACCACATTTTCCAGATGAGGAAATTAGAGTTCTGACAGCTACATCTTGCCCAAAGCCACATGGCTAGTAAGTACAAAGACGACAGTTTAGATTTGTTTGGTGACTTCAACCACATTCTTTTCCCAGGTAGAAAGCTCTACTGGACTTCTTCTTTGCTGACTCCATCATAAATTAACCAGAAGTACACCTTAATAAAGTGCACGGATGCTTTTCATGACTTTGAATCATTAAGGAACATCTTTATAAGGCACAGTGCGGTGCCTTACAAAGGCACTTGCAGAGACAGTGGATCTCAAAGAGACTGGATAGCACACAAAATCTTCATTTGTTTAGTATAAAATGATTTACTTACAAGTCAAATTAATGCTTCCTCTCCCAGATTCCATTTGTTTATCTGTTTGTCTAAAGACACACATGAACTCTCTGATATGAGGCCAAAAGTTTCAGCTGAGTCTCCTTTGTTGTTTGCAAGAATTCTTTATGCTATTTTAAAAGAAAAAGAGGAAGGAGAAGTTAGAGAGAGAGGAAAAGATAACTTCTCATTTTGGAACATACTAATCTTGTCTCTCTAAGGACTGCTATTTGGCATTTGTTTAGCTGGTGCTGATTTGGAAACCAATTGAATATACAGTGTGTATTTCAAACCATTACTTTCCTCTGCCACTCTGTGATTTTTCTGGGGAATATTTGCATTTAGATGCTATCTGTATAATGTAAGGGATATGACCATAAACAATTTGAAGACAATGAGAAAAAAACAGTTAACGGAAAGTAAAAGAAAATGCAGTTACAAAAGGAAGAAGTGAGGAGATAAAATGAAAAGAAAAGAGGGCTCATTGACTGAACTTCACATAAAATAATGAAAAATCAAAAGAATAAGGACGAGTCAAAGAAAGAGTAAGGACAAGTCAAAGAAAGATCAAAGGCAATGAGGGTGCTATTTTTGTATATTAAAACATAATTAATATTCATCATGCTCTTTAAAGGGGAAGTGGAAAATTGAGAGAGACAGAAAAGCAAAGGAAAGGAGTGAACAAACGGTTCAAGATAATAAGGAGAAAAACAGAGCAATGGAGATAATTGGAAAGATTGTATGGCCAAGGTCGAAGTAGAAGCAGTCCAACTGAATGCTATTTTTATAATGTTAGAAAGCACTGCCAGAAAAACAGTAATTCATTCATGTATTCATTTTTTCATTCAGCCTGTATTTGGGGAGTACCCACCGTTTACCAGGCCTTTGTGCTGGATCCAGGGAACAAGAAGATGAATAGGCAGTCTTTCTTTCAAGAAAATTAGAATTGGACACTCTGGTTATGATTTAATCATTTGAGTGGAGGTAAGGCATTAGAAGTCATTTCATATGACTGAAAAAATTATTTTAATGTGGATATACTTTAAACGTAATTAAATATGATTTAAAATGACACCTTTTGACTTATACCTGTCATTCTGTGAAACCTGTGTATGTCACAGGTTCCAACGACAGAAGGAAGGGGCACAGGACGAGGAAAAATGATGAGAAGGAAACTTTGTAACTTCTAAAGATTTTTTAAATAATAAGAGCATAGGTCTCACTCAAGTCATATTTTAACGGAATAAATGGGTTGCATGTTTTCTGGTTGCATTCATTCACAGAACCAGAGGAGACTGGATGAATAATTCATGCATGCATGTTGGGGAAGAATGTATTTTAACATACACAATGGCTGATTACATTGATGTTAGTGAAGATCTGAATTATGTTGAAGGAAATTAACAAAAGAGTGAGTCAAAGAGGAAGTGCTGACTGTTAACGGGTACTCAGTAAAGCAAGTTGTAACTGGAGAAAATGAGTTCTGTGTCAAAACCCAAAATATTATCTAGGACAGCTTCCTAATAGTCCCTGCATCTTCAGTCTTTGATATTACATGCATCTTTCTTACTGATGCATGATTAACTCTGCCCGGGCAACAGATCTGGACTGCCCATAGCAGTCTCCTACTTGATTATTCTCAATGAATTGTGCATTCAAGATCATCCAACACCTGACCCTACCCTCTCTTTCCAATTCTCTCGTTTTATCCCTTGGCAAACTGATCATTTCCTAATCATAGGGAGCACATTACAATTTTCTGTTGCCAAGCTTTTGTGTCTTCTGTTCTGTCTCCTTCTTTCCATCACTTCATGCTCAAATCCAACCCATTCAAGACCCAGTTCAAATGTTACTTTCTCCATGAAATCTTTCTTGATGTTCCCAGATGGAAATAACCATTTCAGTCCCTGAATTCCTATAGGACATTCTGTGTTCTTTGTCCATGGCATTTACTCTGCTTAGGTTAAATCAATTTATGCTTAGCTCCCTTTCTAGATTATAATCTTTTTAAAGGAAGCACATGTTTCTGAGTAAGATTTATAATGCCTAAGTGGTGCAAAACCAAACATGTCTATAAATGACAAAATTAGAACTGGAAAGAAGATCACATAGGTGGGACTCCATGAAGAGATTATGATGACATCAGAAATAGGGGGAAACAACAGTTGGTAAAGGGTATGGCAATAATTAGGAGATGATTAGTAAGCTGCAAAATCGGTCCTGAAATACCCAGAAATGCTATAATATTGATCAACACTAGGAACTATCTTAAATAAACTGCCACCATCGAATTTAGAACACAAATTCCATGTAATTAATTCATTTATTAAACAACATCCAATTCAAATGTTACATTTGTTTTTGTTACTGTATGTTTGTAGAGAAATATTTGCTGAGGTTATCACATTTGTTTATCCGTTTGTGATACATCAAAAAACCTACATATAAAAGAAATAGTACATCTGCTCCTAATTTCTCATATTTGCTTCCTCTCCTTACATCTTTACTTTCATAACTGTATTTGGAATATTTATAAATAATTCCATCTTTTAAGCCTAGCAGCATTAATTTTAACAGACTAGAGAGCCTCCCCATGTATCTCTGATACATTCTAGAGTCAACGTGATTAGCCCAGCAGGGGTCTGAAGAAGTACTCATGAGGCAATTTTTCAGGGTGCTCAGAAACCCTCACTGCTGGAGTATCATTTTAGACCCCGCACAGCTGCAACCCAAACTTGCAAGGCTTGTACATAACTTTTTGTCATATATACAGTAAATGTATACAATGAATTGAATTTATTAAACAGATAGTACAAAGCCATAGTAGCAAAAACTTTACTAAAATGCTAAACAGCATTCAACTAGATAAGTTTATCCCCTTTAGAATAGTTAGCATAACAGGCTGGGCATGAATCCCTGCACTTTGGGAGGCCGAGGTAGGCGGATCACCTGAGGTCAGGAGTTCGAGACAAGCCTGGCCAACATGGTGAAACCCTGTCTCTACTAAAAATACAAAAACTAGCTGGGCGTGGTGGCAGGTGCCTGTAATCCCAGATACTCAGGAGGCTGAGGCAGGAGAATCGCTTAAACCTGGGAGGCGGAGGTGGCAGTGAGCCGAGATCATAGCTTTGTACTCCAGCCTGGGGAACAAGAGCAACACTTCATCTCAAACAAAAGAAAAAAAGAAAAAGAAAAAAAAGAGAATAGTTACCATGACAGTACGTATATTCATTCTGGTATTGGAGCCATTGCTCACAACCTCTCTGCATTCAGAGTCTTTAGGGTTATATAGTTGGCCTTTATAGAGAAGTTTGAGAATTTTCTCTTTTTCCTTGGGCCTGTATTTCCATGAGGCAACTTTAGCTAGAGTATAAATTTGGATTGCCCACTCCACTTCAATATCTCTTAAAGAGGAAGAGTGAGTTCCTGTTTGTTAGGTGCCCTTAATTGGTTCATGTTTCCCATTTGGCTGTATTGAATCTAATAAAAACCTGTAAACTCTAGGGACTGTCATCCTATTCTCCTCTCTCCTCCCTGGATTCTTGCAGAGCAGCTACCCTGGATTGTCCAAGATGTGCACACAGGTCTGATCACCATGAGTAAGGGGACTTCCCCTGCCCTAGAAGTCTGCTGGTAGCCCAGCAGTCAGTGATCTGGTAGACTATTTGGTCTCATACTAGAGCGATTGAATTAGCAAGCTTGCATTTCCACAGACCTCGGTTGGTGTTAGCACTGTAAATGTAACAAGTTGCTCTATAAATATCTAACTCCAACATCCATGTCTATGTTGGTTCCAGGTTCAAGAAGGGGCTGGACATGGTGGCTCATGCCTGTAATCCCAGGGTTTGGGAGGTTGAGGCGGGTGGATCACTTGAGGTCAGGAGTTCGAGACCAACCTGGTCAGGATAGTGAAACCCTGTCTCGACTAAAAATACAAAAATTAGCCAGGCATGGTGGTGTGCACCTGTAGTTCCAGCTACTCAAGAGGCTGAGGCAGGAGAATTGCTGGAACCCAGGAGGCGGAGGTTGCAGTGAGCCGAGATCCAGCCACTGCACTCCAGCCTGGGTGACAGAGCAAGATTCCATCCCCGCAAAACAAACAAATTAATTAATCAATTAATTCAGCGAGGGAAGATACAGATGTTATGTATTAGCACCCTGAAACTCCAACAGTATTATTTAGATCATTTGTATTCTTAACGAATCTACCTTCTTTGAGGGTGCTTTACATTTTGATACAAAGATATTTGGTCATTCCTTGGGTACTATGGTGGGTGGGATGACTAGAATGGTGCGTGGGATGGCTGGTGATAAAGTTGAGTGATGCAGTTTATATCTACAAACTAATGAGATTGGTAGTTTTGTTTGATTCCTTAAACCGGCACTGAATGCAGATTTTTGAAATGAGTTTTGAGTCATAGTAGCATCGTTAGCATAGCCTCACCTTCGCAGCCTCCCAAGGTGATGACTTGGAATGATAGCATACATTTGGATGTACAATTCCAATAATCTTATTAAAATATTAATCACAGCACCTCATAATTACACTTGGAACTTAAGAAAAATTGTTGCTAGGTGCCTCAAGGTGCTCGGTTACTGGGTCTGACATCCCTCAGCCATGATTTGGCCTCTCACGAAATTCTTTTTACAATTCTTTGGCACTTGGCCAACAGGTTTGGTTGAGAAACACTGCAAGAAAAGTTTTAGCCCTACTTGCCACTCTATTTGTGGCAGCCATATCATTGACAGTATGTTCCATGACATCATACCATGTTCCCCTTTTGAGGGTCCACAAATAAACTCTAATAAATTTATTACAATATAGAAAAAGTAATTCCTGTGTACGCCAATTTTCTTTATGTTTTTTTCCTTTCGTATTGTATGTTTTTACATCAAAAGGCATTGAGCCCCATTTATAACCAAGTGGAATAGAAATAAATAAATATAAAGAAGTGAGGGAAAACTGCATTTATCTAAAGTGCTCTTAAGAATATTATTAAATGTGCTTGGAAGAAAACCTGTTATAAGTCTCTTGGAGCAGGGGCAAGATCTAAAAGACAAGCTCAAATAAAAACAAGAGCAATGACAACAACCATTTATTGAGCTCTGAAGATGGATACAATAGTATATGGAGGGTAAGAGGGTGGATATATGTGCCTAACTACCTGAGTTAAAATTCCATCTCTGCCTCTTATGGACTGTGTGACTCTCTGGTCCTCAGTTTCATCCTATGTAACATGAGGATGAAAAACGAAACTGCAAAATACTGACCTCATAGTATCATTGCTAGGATTATCATTAAATGCTTACTCTGTTCCAGTTATTGTTCTAAGGGCTTAAATGTCTATCTCACTGTGATGTCATTTCAATTCTATCAGGTAGGTAATATATATCCATTTCACAGACAAGGAAGGCGAGGAACGAGAATGTACTTGTAGGAGGTCACATAGACAGCAATTTGTAGTTAACAAAAAGAAAAACGTGATCACTAAATTGCATCCAAAAGAATAATAGGCTGAGTTAGCTCCAAGATTTTTTTTTTCTGAGTGGGGGTATCTATGTTTGAAATAAGAGGAGATTTGCCCAGGACAGTAAGTGAGACACTGAGCACTGTGGAGGAGTTCTGAGAAGACATGTGTGTGAGGTAAACATGAGAGATCAGAACTGTCAGATGACACAGCCCTAAAGATGGCTCATGCTGAGTGCGCAATATTCTTCAGTAAATGTGCAGAATATTGAATAAAAGTCTCAATTGTCATTCCGTACTAACATACTTACATACCCACACCATGTTCATGGCCTCGTGGTAGGATTGAGTTTGCAGTTGGCCCTTGAACGATATGTGTTTGAACTGCACAGGTCTACTTATATATGGATTTTTTTTTTTCAGTTAAAGTCATACCTAGTATGCCTGCCTCTCCTGACTCCCTTTTCACCCCCTCTACCTCTTGTGCCTTTGCCACCCCTGAGATAGCAAGATCAACATCCCCTCCTCTACCTTCTTCTCCTCCTCAGCCTACTCAGTGTGAAGTTGATGAGAATAAAGACCTTTATGATGATCCACTTCCAATCAATAAATAGTAAATGTATTTTCTCTTCCTTGTGATTTTCTTTTTTTAAAAAACAATACTTTAAGTTCTAGGGTACACGTGCACAATGTGCAGGTTTGTTACATATGTATACATGTGCCATGTTGGTGTGCTGCACCCATTAACTTGTCATTTACCTTAGATAGATCTCCTAATGCTATCCCTTCCACCTCCCCCAACTCCACAACAGGCCCCAGTGTGTGATGTTTCCCTTCTTGTGTCCAAGTGATCTCATTGTTCAATTACCACCTATGAGTGAGAACATGCAGTGTTTGGTTTTCTGTTCTTGCAATAGTTTGCTGACAATGATGGTTTCCAGCTGCATCCATGTCCCTACAAAGGACATGAACTCATCCTTTTTTATGGCTGCATAGTATTCCATGGTATATATGTGTCACATTTTCTTAATCCAGTCTGTCATTGATGGACAGACTGGGTTGGTTCCAAGTCTTTCTTATTGTTAATAGTGCTGCAATAAACATACATGTGCATGTGTCTTTATAGCAGCATGATTTATAATCCTTTGGGTACATACCTAGTAATGGGAGAAAATTTTTGCAATCTACTCATCTGACAAAGGGTTAATATCCAAAACCTACAAAGAACTAAACAACTTTGCAAGAAAAAAACAAACAACCCCATCAAAAAATGGGCAAAGGATATGAACAGACACTTCTCAAACGAAGACATTTATGCAGCCAACAGACGCATGAAAAAATGCTCATCATCACTAGCCATCAGAGAAATGCAAATCAAAACCACAATGATATACCATCTCACACCAGTTAGAAAGGCAGTCATTAAAAAGTCAGGAAACAGCCGGGCGAGGTGGCTCACGCCTGTAATCCCAGCACTTTGGGAGGACGAGGCGGGCGGATCATGAGGTCAGGAGATCGAGACCATCCTGGCCAACACGGTGAAACCCCGTCTCTAGTAAAAATACAAAAATTAGCCAGGCATGGATGGTGGTGGGCGCCTGTAATCCCAGCTACTCAGAAGGCTGAGGCAGGAGAATGGCGTGAACCTGGGAGGCGGAGCTTGCAGTGAGCTGAGATCCGGCCACTGCACTCCAGCCTGGGCAACAGAGTGAGACTCCGTCTCAAAAAAAAAAAAAAGTCAGGAAACAACAGGTGCTGGAGAGGATGTGGAGAAATAGGAACACTTTTACACTGTTGGTGGGACTGCAAACTAGTTCAACCATTGTGGAAGACAGTGTGGCGATTCCTCAAGGATCTAGAACTAGTGATTTTCTTAAATACGTTTTCTATTCCCTATCTTACTTTATTGTAGGAAGACAGTACAGAATACATATAATATATAGGATACATGTTAATTGACTATTTATATTATCGGTATGGCTTCCTGTGAACAGTACACTATTAGTCGTTAAGTTTTGGAGGAGATAAAGTTGTATATTTTTTTATTGTGCAAGGCATTGGTGCCCCTAATATTTGTGTTGTTTAAGGATCAACTATATATCCCACCCAATAATTTTTGAATTGTTCACATCGTTTAGGTCAACAGGATGTTATTACATGTGATGTAAGCAAAAGTTTAAGGTGCTTGTGTAGTTGCTTTTGTCATCACCATGGAGAGAACGTATCCCAGGTAGCCACAGCTCCCCCATCCTGCAGTTCAGAATGAGACACATCGATTAGACCCGCTACTGGATCCAAGCCCTGTCAGTTCACAGTCTGAAGCAGAACTTCCCAGCTGACCCTCAGATGTGTGAGTAAATAAATATGCTTTAAATAAAATAAATACATATAAATAAAATGATATAGCAAAATAAAATAAATTTTAAAATAAATAAAAAATTTAAAATAAGTAAATAACGTTAAATGATTTAATTAAATATGCTTCAAATAAAAATACTTATATTTTAAGTGCAATGACTTTTGGCACCAAGTACCTGTAGTTAGGCCGGACTTCACAGGTGAAGGGCACAGTCCTCTTTAAAACAGCCTTCACTTCAGACACCAGCCACAAAGTTAGGAGTCCCCAGGCCATCCTCGCTTCTGACGAACTGGCTACAAATCCACGCATTCCCACTTCCTCTCAGATTCATTAAGTTGTTAAATGACTCATAAAACTCAAGAAAGCACTGTATTTATAATTGTAGTTTTCCTATAGCAAAAAAATACAAATCAGAACTAGCCAAATGTATTGACACAGAGCAAGGCCCGAGGTGCTCCGAAATATGGACGCCCCATTGTCCTCTCTTCATGGAGTCAGGAGGTCCCCTTCTGGCATGTCATTGTTTGACAATGCTCAGAATATTGTCAACCAGGGAAGTTCACTTAAGCTTCTGTGTCCTAAGTATGAGTAATTGAATCATCTCCCATGTCACTCAATCTACAGTCAGTCTCCTCTCCCAAGAAGTCAAGATAGCTCAAAACTCAACCATCCAATCATATGGTTGGTCTTTCTGGCATGGCCAATCCCCACTCTGAGTGAACTCTCAGGGCCCATCATGAATAACAAAGACAATCCTATGGCTCAGGAAATCCCTAGGACTTAGAGGCTACCACTCAGGAACTGGGGACAAAGGCCAGTGAAATTCTTCATTACAGAGTAAGCCACTGAATCTTTGGTGTGGTTTGTTATGCTGCATTATTGTGGCAATAATTGACTTCTACCAAATGTCCAACATCACCACATGCCATGCTAGCTTGAATTTTTTATTAATAATATCAATGGAGATGAGGAAATAGATGACAAGATGATTACATATTTGGGTCTCATATTTAAATAGATGAATACCCACAACCACTTTAAAGTACGTTGAGCTTGAACTCTCGTTCTAGAGAAAAATGTTGAAAAGATGGCTTTTGTGTTCTATAATTTGTTATATTTTATCTGTCTCCCTTCCTTTCGTATAAGGCTTGAGACTTCTTTGGGCTAAGGATGAAATTTGTACTCTTGATAGAAAACTTTTTCTCATTAAGGGATTGTTATCATTACTCACCATGACTTTAAATTAATGTTAAAGAGGAAAGAGTTTATTCCAAATTCAAGTAGGGTAGTTATCTAATTAGTACTAACATTAGTATTAGTTAGTAAGTATTCATAATAACATTAGTGCTACCTAGCACTGACATTGAATGTTAGTACTAATTAGCTAGTTATCTATCTAATTAGAACGAACATTCAACTTTCTAGAATATGCTTTACCTGAGAGTTTTGAAGACTCACCCCTAAAGTGTCACTAGTGATTCTTCTTTCCTTAATGCACCTAGAGACATAGTTAAACATGGTTTCATTTTAACTTTCACAGTTACAGTGTAATGGGGGAAAAAAAACACCCAAAAACAAAATACAGGATTTCTAGCCTACCTGTCAAGAAATCCATCATAGAGGCTCTGTTCTTCTGCTGTGTGACTTTGAGCAAGTCACTTCTCTTCACTAGACTCCAAATTTTTCGTCTGTAAAATAAGAAAGACCAGCAGATCTCTGAGTTTCCTAACAGCTCAAGTAATTCCATTTCTCTCTGAATTACCAGTGTGACCTTTGGTGAATCATTTAACATCTTTAAGCCTGACTTTCTTCATATCTCCTCCTGCACACTCCCTCATCCCAATTAATGGCAAATGCACCCTTAGAGTCATCCTTGACTCCTACCTCTCATACCCCACATTCAATCCATCAGTAAACCCTGTGGGTGGAAACTTCAAAATATATTTGGAATCCACCACTTCTCATCATTGCTACATCATGTTCAAAGCTACTATTGTCTCTGGTCTAAAAAGTTACAATATGAAAATATGATGAGAGTTTTATATGCATTTTTTGCCCTAACCTTTAAAAATTTTTATACGCATTTTTTGCACTAATCTTTTTATTTGCACTAGGTCTTTTTGCAAAAGTCTTTAGTGTGTTTTATAAGACCACATCTCAATTTGGACTAGCCATATTTTAATTGCTCGATAGTCACATGTGATTAACGGCTACTGTATTGTGCAGCATAGGTCTAAAGTCAAAGAACATTCTCCTGCCTAATTAATGCCCTTATTTTAATGTTCCAAACAGAACTCCTTGCCTCAAATTCAGTTTCATGTCTAGTGGGTTATCACCACCAGCAATAACACCCCTGTACCTCTGCTTCTGCCAGTTTCTTCTCACTTTGTTTCTTTCTCCTTGGGACTTATCTGCTATTCTTTTCCAAATCGATTCTTGCAAAAGTGCTCATGACTAATAATAACTTGATATATCCCCTTATTTATTCAGCAATCCTTTACTTAGCCACTGCTACCAGCCATAAATTGTTATTTTCCCCAGACAACTGCTTACATAAAGAAGAACCCTGGGGATACTCAACTGCTACACAACGGGATGAATGAGTCTCTAATGGTAAGATTCACTATGGCTGTACTGTTGAGTTAGGGGTCAGGGTAATAAAAAAGAGAATAATTTAAGTCATAGGTAGATGTTTTTCTTGTTCTTTATTATCATAAAAATAGTTGCTTTCTCTACGTATGCATGAAACGAGTTAAGACAGATGTTCCTTTTCTTTTCCCATTCGTTTATTGGTTTCATAATCTATTGGTCACCATTTATCAAGCAGTAAGCACTGCCAAAAGACAGTTATATGTTCTTCATCCTTCTCAAACAAGGAAATTAGAAGATTTTCTCTTGATGACCTCTCAAGCTGCCATCCCATCTTGTGAAAGTGCAGGTGCAATGAGAAATTTTATTTAGGTTACACACAGACTTACTTATATACCATGCCTGGTTTAAGTGGGCATTTTATTGCAACTTCTTTCCAAATTCTTAAAGCGAATCAAGTTGCCAAAATGCTAAAAAGCCATTTTACCAAGTGTTGAAGTGTAAAAGTCATCTGGAAACTTTTTTTCCTTCCCTGGGATTTCAGAATCGTTGGATGATACAATTTGAGGAGACCCTTAGAGATCATCTAGCCCCAGGCTCTCGTTCCATTAAAAAATCTCTGCAGGTCCAAAGAGGATAAATGGCTTTCCTAAGAACAAAGAGTTGTAAGGGATGGTACTGGGACTGAAATTTTATGCTTGTTTTTCTTATGTTTACCTCTTTATACAAAGAAAATATGAACAGGTCTGTCTTTGTCTTTTTACCCCTGCTCCTCTGAGAATTATGTAATATTGAGGGCATGTTGGATTCCTGCCCTAAGAATGTGGGTTATATGCAAGCAACTAAGAAGCCCTCCAAAGATATATTGCATTACACCCTTTCCCGTAGGCATAAAAGAGGTTGTGAGGTCAAGAGAGAGAATGTCAGGTCGAGACACAGGAGGGCACCAAATTATCTCTTTCCACTAGAATTATCTATCCACTTCTGGGGTGGAGAAAAAGCTATAGTTGACTGGTATGCTTGAGGGTGAATACAGAAACATGGAACTTCTCACAATGCTGATTTGCTGATATGGTTAGACTGTGTCCCCACCCAAATATCATCTTGAATTGTAGTTCCCATAATCCCACCTATCATGGGAGAGACCCAGTGGAAGGTAATTGAATCAAGGGGGCAGTTACTCCCATGCTGTTGATAGCGAGTGAGTTCTCACAAGATCTGATGGCTTTATAAGGGGCTTTTCACTCTTTTCCTTGGTACTTCCTTTTCCTGCCACTATGTGAAGAAGGATGTGTCTACTTCCCTTTCTGCCATGATTGTAAGTTTCCTGAGGCCTCCCCAGGTGTATTAGTCCATTTTCACTCTTCTGATAAACACATACCTGAGATTGGGCAGTTTACAAAGGAAAGAGGTTTAATGGAGAACTCACAGTTCCACGTGGCTGGGGGAAGCCTTACAATCATGGAGGAAGACAAGGAGGAGCAAGTCATATCTTACACGGATGGTGGCAGGCAAAAATAGAGAGCTTGTGTAGAAAAACTCCCATTTTTAAAACTGTCAGATCTCATGGGACTTTTCACTGTCATGAGAACAGCACGGGAAAAACTTGCCACTGTGATTCAGTTATCTCCCACCAGGTCCCTTTCACAACACATGGGAATTCAAGATGAGATTTGGATGCGGACACAGCCAAACCATATCACCAGTCATGTGGAACTGTAAGTCAATTAAACCTCCTTCCATTATAAATTACTCAGTCTTGGGTGTGTCTTTATTAGCAGTGGGAGAACAAACTAATATAGTAAATTGGTACCAGGTACTGGGGTGCTGCTATAAAGATATTCAAAAATGTGAAAGCAACTTTGAAAATGGGTAACAGGCAGAGGTTGGAATAGCTTGGAAGGTTCAGAAGATGATAGGAAAATGTGAGAAAGTTTGGAACTTTCTAGATACTTGGAGGGCTCAGAAGACAGGAAGATGTAGAAAAGTTTGGAACTTCCTAGAGACTTGTTGATTGGCTTTGATCAAAATGCTGATAGTGATATGGACAATAAAGTCCAGAGAGAGATGGTCTCAGCTGGAGATGAGGAACGTTTTGAGAACAGGAGCAAAGGTGATTTTTGGTATGCTTGAGCAAAGAGATTGGCAGCACTTTGCCCCTGCCCTAGAGATCTGTGAAACTTTGAACTTGAGAGAGATAATTTAGAGTATCTGGCAGATACTTCTAAGTGGCAAAGCATTCAAGAGAAAACAGAGCATAAAAGTTTGGAAAATTTGCAGCCTGATGATGCAATAGCAAAGAAAAATCCATTTTCTGGGGAGAAATTCAAACCTGCTGCAGAAATTTACCTAAGTAACAAGGAGCGGATTGTTAATCACCAAAACAATGGGAAAAATGTCTCCTGGCATATCAGAGCTGTTTGTGGCAGCCCTTTCCATCACAGGCATGGAGGCCTAGGAGGAAAAAATGTTTTCCTGCACCAGGTCCAGGGCCTTATTTCTGTGTGCAGCCCAGGGACTTGGTGCCCTGCATCCAAGCCGCTCCAGCCATGGCTAAAAGGGGACAAGGTACAGCTCAGATCATGGCTTCAGAGGGTGCAAGCCCCAAGCCTTAGCAGCTCCCACATGGTGTTGAGCCTGCGGGTACACAGAAGTCAAGAATTGAGGTTTGGGAACCTCTGCCTAGATTTTAGAGGACGTATGGAAATGCCTGGGTGTCCAGGCAAAAGTTTGCTGCAGGGAGAGAGCTCTCGTGGAGAACCCCTGCTATGGCAATGCAGAAGGGAACTGTAGGGT